TGAAATAAATAAGACACACATGTGTAAATACCAAATAGTTTCTCTGGTGTGAGAAACTGAAACTGTAAATAAGGATCAAAATGTATAACAGAGCTAGGGATTTAGCTCAGTGGTGTCAACACCTGCCTCACAAGTGCAAGGTCCTAGGTTTGATCCCCAGTACAAAAAAAAAAAAATGTATGTTAGATAATGTGAAATAGGAAGAAAAGGTCCAAAGGGGAAGGGGAAGGGGAAGGGGAAGTGGGAGGGGCAGGGGGAAAGAAAGGAAAAAATATGAGAACAGAAAAAGACTGAAACAAAATCTTTGTAAATAGGGAGGGATGGAGGGGTTGAAGGGAGGACAGGGGAATAGGGAAAAAAATAAGACTCAAGATATATCATGTAAAGGTACAAATTCCCAATGATGAATGTGATCATATTGTATACCTAAAATGTACCAATAAATTTAATGAATTTAAAAAAAGAACACAGAGGAAGCTGTAGAGGATGTAAAATAGGCTGCTAATTATATACCTTAGGGACTCCTGGAGAATACTGCACACTTTTTTTCATTTATAAGTAACAGCATTAAATCTCATTAGTATGTGCATGTAAGCTGTTTTTTAGCTTTAGCAAAGTCTAATTACATAAACACCTCATACATTTAAAGTACATATTGGAGAGTTTTGATGCCTGTGAACCTGTACCCATAACCACCCTCAAAACTTCCACATGCCTTCTGGGATCTCTCCCACCAATACCACTCCTGCCCCCAGCATCATTTAAGGTTTCCGGCATTATGGGCTATGTGCATTTTCTGCCATTACAGTGGACCCTTCACTTATGAACTCCATTCATTCAAGAGGCCTGGTTGTAACACAAGTTGGTCAATTGAAGGCTCAGGCTCCTCCACACACCCTTCAAAGTCTCTCTTCTGTATACAGGAAGATCTCAGTGTCCTTAAAGAGACATTGGCCCAGGATTTTTCAATCAACCCCACACAGAAAAGGATATTATAATGTTCCTTCCAGAACTCGTTCAGGGTAAAATTTGTATCTGAGACCATCTGGAAGCACAAGTGGCCAGCATTTGGGTTGTAACTCAAGACTCTGTTTGTAAGTTAAAACTAAAGTTCCAGTCATAATCCAACTTGTTTGTACGTCAGGCCAGTCATAACTCAAGGGTCCACTCTATAGGCTATTTTGCTTTCTGCTATTTAGAGGTTAATTTTGCGTTTTCTAGAATTTTATGTAAATGCAGTCATATACCAGATGCATTGGTTATCCAGTATTTTCACTTGGCACCCATATTGAGACCCATCCATGTTGTTGCATGGTATCAACAATCTTTCTCTGTCTTTTTTTTTTTTTTTT